ATTATGACTGTTATTCATTTACATTTTATAAAAACCTGCAAAAACCTTTCTGTCGAGTGATGTAAATAAATTTTATGCATGCATATTATATTTCAAGTTGCTTAAGCGAAATCAAGGAGTTTATAAGGTTTATTCATTCTTTATACTGTAGACATGTAGAACATATCCGCGTTTGTGCATCAATGTCTGTAATGTGTGCTGTAGGTGTGAAACTTTTAGGAATCTTATCCAAGTTGTAGGCTAGTCAATATTGGTCAGTCAGTCGTATCCGACATAAGGATCCGTGAATGAAACTGTGACCACAAACACGTACCATTAACTAAGTGAATTATATGGCAATAATCAGCAATATGCTTTCACACAAATGACTTTATTTTTTGAATGTTTCAATATGTGTTGACACAAATGACTTATTTGAAATTTTCATTGATACAACATGGCACTGACTTGTTTGAAAAGAAATGCGTAGAGTCGTTATTTCTTGATGACGTCAGGAACCGATGAATCGGCTTTTTGAACCGGTTCAATGAGCCGATCTGTCAGAAAAGAACCGGTTCGCGGAAATGAATCAGACTTTGCATCACTAGACTAGACTAGACTAGACTAGACTAGACTAGACTAGACTAGGTCAACAGAGACAAAAGCCAGGTTAACTCAGTAGAGCAGAGATTCAATCCGGCACAGGACTGAAAACAAGAGGAGAATATAAAGGGAGACTAATGATCTAAAACAGGTGTTAACCCTAACAAGATAATCAGGTAACAAGAGGGGCGGGGTAACAATAGACAGTAGAGCACATGACAAACACAAATACCAACTGACAGCCATGTGCTCCAGACAGACCAGGGGTGTATTCCAGAAAGCACGGTTAACTTACCGTCAGCTAAACCCTGAACTTTCGGTTGATTAACCCCAAACCTTGCTTACTCAAGGTATGTGGTTCCAAAAACGCGTCCGGGAGTAAGTTCATTCAACTCAAAGCATGTTCCTGGTTAAGACTCAAGACATTCTCAACAGAATTTCTTCTTCTTTTGTTCAATGGTCGTTTACATGCTTAGTGCATATCGCCACCTAATTGATGGTTGTGCAAAAAAGTTTTTCCCGTTTAATCTTTAATCCTTGAGAATATGAATTATATTGTTTGTTTGATGCTAATTATATATTAAGTCATAGCAGATATGTATTTTGATTTAGAATTTAGACATTATATGTTTAATTTATTATATTATATATATTTATTTATTACATTTTATAATATCATCTCACACATAGATCGGCATTTTCTATAATGTCTAAATTCTAAATCAAAATACATATCTGCTATGACTTAATATATAATTAGCATCAAACAAACAATATAATTTATATTCTCAAGGATTAAAGATTAAACGGGAAAAAAATTAAAATGATTGCACGACCATCAGTTAGGTGGCGATATGCACTAAGCATGTAAACAACCATTGAACAAAAGAAGAAGAAAGAAACAGCATGGCACGGTTTTTCTTAGCGTCCGTTTCCATAGTGACTCGTCGATTCATCGCTCTGTTGAGAATGTCTTGAGTCTTTTTTTACAGTCTATGGTCTTAACCAGGAACATACTCTGAGTTGAATGAATTTACTCCGGGACGCGTTTTTGGAACCACATACCTCGAGTAAGCAAGGTTTGGGGTTAATCAACCGAAAGTTCAGGGTTTAGCTGACAGTAAGTTTAACCGTGCTTTCTGGAATACACCCCTGGACACAACATAAACAAACCCAGATCAGACCCATTCACTGCAGAGGATCCATTGGTAGGCAAGTAACATTAAAATTTGTCCAAATCTCATCTTTGAGAGAGTAAATTTTCTGCAAGTTTTCATTTTTGGGTGAGCTGTTCCTTTAAATGTATGTTATGCATAGAAATTGCATAGAAATTATGCATAGAAATTACATGTAGGATATACACGAAAATTACAACTTCAGCTTCTTGTAATTCAAACGTTGTATATAAAACTGATGTCTGCAGTATCATTATTGCAAAAGTAGCTGATGAACTCACTACGTCACATGTATGACATACAGTGCAACAATATCATCAACTAATGTAAGCATTTGAGATTTACAATGCCTCATGTGTCAGGTCACTGTAGGCTTGATCGGTTTTTGTGTTAAATAAATGTGTTTCTGATTTATTTAGATTCGCTCAGATAAGGAAGACGTCAAACTGAAAAATGTGAGGTACTCACTGAAGGGCGTCGGTGCAGACCAGCAGCCGTTCAATTTATTTGTGGTGAATCCTGAAAATGGATATGTCAGGATAACGGGGCTCCTTGACAGAGAGTCCATCGCACAATACAATGTAAGTGAAATGGCCATGATGACAATGATGATTCGTGATGATGATGATGAAGGTGGCTTTAACACCTACACTTGATTATGATGGATGGTGATCTTGAATTTATTCCTCTGTAGCTTGTTGTAAAATGTGGTGCAACTCCCCAAAAATGTAATGATATTTATGAATTAATAATTTAACAAAAAAAATATTTAAATATACACTACAGTAGTTCAAAAAATTTGGGGTCTGTACGATTTTTAAATGATTTTGAAAGAAGTTTCTTATGTTCACCAAAGCATTTATTTGGTAAAAATTTAGTATAAAAAGTAATATTATAAAATATTATTACAAGAAATATTTCTTATTATTATCAATGTTGAAAACAGTTGTGCTGCTTTGGATGGTGATCTTGAATTTATTCCTCTGTAGCTTTCAGGCGTTGCTACGTTCACAGATGGCACGATTGCAGAAAATGACATTGGGCTGAGAATAAAAGTGAAGGATCAGAATGATAATCCGCCTGTTTTTGGTCCGATGAATCCCGGGGCTGTAGACGAGCTCAGTCCAGCAGGTATGTGATCTGCAGTTGTTACAGGTATATTAAAAATTTAGTATAAAAAGTAATATTATAAAATATTATTACAAGAAATATTTCTTATTATTATCAATGTTGAAAACAGTTGTGCTGCTTAATATTTTTGTGGAAATGGTGATATATATATTTTTTTTTTCAGGATTCTTTGATGAATAGAAAGTTCAAAAGAACAACATTTATTTGAAATAGAAATATTTAGTAAAACTGTAAATGTCTTTAATGTCACATTTGGTCAATTGAATGCATCTTTGCTGTTTAAAAGTATTCATTATACACAGTAGTGTATAAATAAAAACTATTTTAAAATAATGATAAAGGTGTTTACATTCACATGTATTCAAGGTCTGAGAAAATGTTATTACTTTGTACTTGAAGGTTACACCATTTGAAATGTATTACAGTATTAAAATGCTATTAAAAGTTTTTTTTTTTTTACTTTAAGAAACCAACATAAATATTAAAGCTGCAAGCAGCGATGAAAGGGCCCTCGCACCC